CCGTCAAATTTAGTTAAATTTCTTTTCTTTTTTTTTTGGAAAAAAAAAAAAAAAAAAAAAACAGTATTCTTTCATCCTGTCCACAGCTCAGAAATTTTGCCCATTCTCACAGGGCATGATTTCACACTTGCGGTGGACGAAAACCACTTGCAGATGACTCCACGAGACGTTTATTGATCCGAGACGATGGGTGTGGGGGTATGTGGAAAGCAAAAAATGCAGCAAAAAAACAACAACTTAAAGACATTGTCAGGACGCATGCTTGAGTCCAACTCAAGCATATCTTTGTACTCACGAGCAAATCTGATCAGCACAGGAATCTAGTGTGTAATTGATAAGTCTTTTTTCCTCTGTATGCAAGGTAGAGTTAATTAATACCACATAGAGAGGAGATTCTTTCTGGACAAGTCTGACATATTTATCACGAGATGTCTGGATAAGGCACTCTGGAGTTCGTCACACACAGTGTCTAAACACTAACCTGCCAGATGTGTTAGGAACTTTTTGCTGAGGCAGCAGTTCACATCAACGGGCAGAAGCAATTACTAGAGGTTATCACAGGTCATCAACTGCAGAGCGGCGCAGATTTGGATTTCCTCCCTCTTCAAGCTCCTTTTTCTCCACTTAAATATAAAGATTCCTGAATAATATGTAAAGAAAATATGTGGTTTACATCCTGAGAGGTTAAAAGAATGAATTTCAAGAATTTTTATTAGCGTTGATGGCTTTGGAAATTGCATTTACCATATGTCACATCTGTCTATCTGTTGCCATCCCAGAATGCATTGCCACATCATGCAGTAACATGATCTAAATAAAATCCAGATGTACTCCACCAATTGGTCTAATTCCTTCAAGCCTCGATATTTCACATTACATATATTAATCATCAGAGGCATGTCACAGATTTCTGCACTGATAACAACCCTCCCTTCAAATGACAGCTGACTCATTCCAATCAAACCAGTAGGGCGGTAATCAAAACAATGCTGCAAAAAGGGAGGGAGACAGACATTTCCTGGACTGATGCACTCAAGTGACAAAACATTAAGTGCTTCCACCTTTAGTTTATGAAAGTGCGGTTTCTGTTATCCGATTCAAAAAACCAATCACAAGCTTTTAAGGTCAATTCAGAGGGTTATTTAAATAATCATTAAGAAAGGTCATACAAAAATATTCTATTACTATCTTCAGAATAACACATGGACTAAACCCTTGAAGGTATGGCTGATAAGTATGATAGGTAATTATATTATTCTATACAAGACAACAGGTGTGGACCTGCCGAGGTATCAGATTTTTGCTTTTAGCTTGCCAAGATAATCTGTTACTGTTGGACAGTAACATTTCCACATGCAAAAACTGTCAGTTTTCACACAATAACTCTCAACTTGATTCAACCTGCTGTTATTTATCTTCAAAGGCAGAATCTAAGACATTGTCAGTGCAGTTCATGAAGAGCCCTTCTCTTGTCCTCAGGCTGAAAGCCTCTCTCCAGGGTCCTGAAGCATGGGCTGTAGGCCTAGAGTTGGTCCAGGGCAAGGGGCCAAACACATCTACAAGCCAGTGCCTTCCCTCTAGGGCCCCACGATCAGTCCTCCTCTGAGGAAAGCTGGGCCCCATCATCATGCACCTCTCTGTAGGCTGCCAGTGGGCCTCCATCTGGGTTGTAACTCTCTGTCTTGAAACTCATACCATCTGCCAGCTTCTGGGCAGTTTGTTTGGCCTGTAACTCCTGAAATGAACAGTATACGCAATTACATGAATGTACTACATGAATAATGAATACAGAATGACATAGAAACACCCGCACACAAGTGGCAAACATGTATAGGTATTATACTCTCTGCTAGGATTATTCAAGTAGTACTTCCTCTCAGCATCTCAAAATAGTTGAAGCTTTTGTGGGATAAAACATTTTTTGAGACCTCGGAAGCTTTGAAATGTAATTTATCACTTTGGTCATTCAAATCTGTTTCTCTGGGTCTGCTATGACAAAGGCATCTTCAACCTACCAGGTGTTTTCTTGTCTGCTCTTGCAGAAGGTCAGCCGACTCCTCTAATGACAGCAGCTGGGCAGGACTGTGGTGCAGGGGTGGAACCTTAGCTGCAGTAATGTCATCCATGTGTTTTCGGTCTCGTTGTCTTCTGGCCTCTGCAGTAAGTGGTGTGATGCTGCCAGAGGCCTGACTAGGTGATGAAGACTCAGATTTTACAGCCAACCTAAATAAAACACAGACACTTTTATCCAACGTGATTTACACCCTCATTTCATTCCAAACCTGTAAAACTTTGGTTCATCTTCAAAACACAAATTAAGATATTTTTAATATAACTTGAGAGGTTTCTGAAACACCATTTAAAGTCCAGGTAATCCATGTGCTGTGAAGAGATATAATCACTTTATATGAACAGATTTAAATTGGGCTTTTATTCACATATAAACACGTGTATAGAGCGCATCACACTTGGTAAACATGTAAGCTTGCGTGTGCGTCACGTGGTAGAACAGACCTCACTGGTTCTTGTACATCACGCATGCACATTTAAGCTTCCATGTTTACCATATGTAATGTGCTCTGTGTGTATCAATCATTGTTTAGATGGAAATAAAAACCTAAATTAAAGCTGTTCATCATATGAAGCGGTCTTATCTCTTTGCAAGACTTAGAATAAACCACTTGATTCATTCGGATTCATTTTACAGTGCCTTTTTAAGACATTTTTTGATCTTCTATCGATGACCAAATATTCATTTTTGTGTGAACGGTCCCTTTAAATATACTATATTTCAGCTTATTTTAAAAAACAAAACAAAAAAACAAAGCCATGCAATGACAGTGTAGTTCCACTCACTGGTTTGGTTTGAATCTGGGCTTCCTCATATTCACACTTTTCTCTGTCTTCTCCAGAACTTCAATGTAATGTGGTTTCTTCTGTTGCTTACTAGGAAGCAGGGTTTTAATGGTGTCTTGGTTGGAGCCATTGTTACTTTCATCAAGAGTTACTTGTCCAAATGCCACCACAAGCTCTTTCATCAGTGAGGCTGCTGCATTCCCACCGGCTGTTTCTAGTGTTTCAGCAGCCTCCGGCTGGGATGTCAAATACTCGTCTTGGCCCAACAAACCACCATTTTCCTTTATGTTAGCCGCATCGATATTGACATTGGCTTTGTTTCTGTCATGGGATGGGATAATCATGTCCAAATTGGAGTCTAAATGCGTCTCTGTGCTTCGCTTGGCAAGGGCATGCTGATATTTACTCTGAAACTCTATCCGGAGAGAGATTAAGCATGCTTGTTTTCTCTCCTCCTCCTCCAGATGTCCAAGTGCAAGGTGTACTTTCTCCACAAAGTCGGCAATCTTCTTTCCCTTATCTGGAAGGGTATGAATAAATCTCCTGAAGAGATTGTAAAAGTACAGATCATATTTAAACATATTTATTTATACAGCATTTTATTAATTACGAATTGTTTCACAGTATTAAACGGGGAAATAACAGTGTCTATGTTGCAAACAAATGATTAATCACTTTAACAAAGCAACAAATTCATTTATATTACATTTATTTGGGTATTTGTAATTTTTCAAATTATAAATTGTTAGTGATGTTACACTGAAGCGTCAAAGCGTGTATCGAGTACGCAGCACAATTTTTCACGAAGCTCTGTGCCGGAGCGCGTATTGTTTTCAGAGAATCACGTGATCAGCGAAAAATTAAGCCTCACTTTCTGTCCAATCACGTGCGCGTGTCGGAATGTTAGAACCCCAGTAGGTTTTCATTCAGACTTATTCAATTAAATACCGATTCACGCAAGTAATATTAAGAATAACAATTATTTCAGAAAAAAATTAATATTTGCCATATGCAGTTCATATATGTGTGCATTATTCTTCTATTACATCATATTGATTTTCGCACTGGCATTTAATGCTACAGTTTAATGGGTAAATTATTTTATCAGAGAGAGAAATTCAACAAACACACACACACACTGTTAGGCTTTTATTTGTGCTCGTAACATGAGTTGATGGAATTTGTGGTCTCCGCTTTGTCGAAATATATCCAGCTGTAGAACCTGCTGGTGCTGCGGATCTGCAGCTGGAGACTATTGCTTTGTCCGACGGAGCGTCTTTCTCTCTTTCACAGGCTTTTGGCTGCTATTTTTCTTATTAACCACCAGATGGCGCTGTTTTTGATACTCTCGAAGCTTTTAAAGCAGCACTATGTAACTTTTTCTGTGTTCAAAATTTGCTAAATGTATATAATGAGTCAGTACATCATGAATTCATCTTACAAACCACGTTTTTATCTTGTTCCGAATCACTACGGTACACTTATAATAAATACTTATATTTGGACTATTGCTGCCTGGTCGGGTCGTCACCGCTGCGGAGTAACACATACCTGCGTGAATCGCCATAGACATAAACTTAGAGAAGTAACTCCGGTTGAAATGTTCTTCCGCGGGATGTGTGCAGTGCTGTTTATTAACCGCTAGAGCGCCAAAAGTTACATAGTGCTGCTTTAAAGGGGTCCTATTATGCTTTTTCACTTTTTGAAATTTAGTCAGTGTGTAGCGTGTATGTTTGGGAATAAAAAAAAGATCTACAAAGTTACAAATCTCAAAGTCCACTCCAAAGGGAGATATTTCGTTTTTTAAAAATCCCTTTTCAAGAACTACAACGAACGGTTCATTTGGACTACAGGGTTTGGTTTC